CCGCCGGCCCGCTGGCCCCGCCACCGCCATGTCTCCTCTCGGTCAGGAATGCCACAGCGCTCCAGGCCCGGCAGCGCCGACCCTACGGGGGCCCCGCCGCCCTTTCAGACAGCCAGCTGGGTAGCGTTGCTCACCATGGTGGCGGATGGCGGTGGATTCTCCCTAGCAGATCCAACAGCGATAAGCCGCGCCGAGGATGGCGGCGACGACGGCGGAAGAGAACACTGACGTCAACACCCGAGCTTTTATAGGCCGACGCCGGTTGGGTGGGTCATCTGACCGCGCTTCGAGGGCGGGGCGAAGCGACGCCGCGCGCAGGCGCACGGACGCCCTTCCCTCGGGTAACCCCTTAGGCGCAACTCCGTAGGTGTCCGTGCGGTCGCTCTAGGTTGGAAGGTCGGCCTTCCGCGCTTGGATTTCCCTGGGGCGTGGTTGGCCCAGACCTGCGTACAAGTTTCCAGGATGCAATACTCAGATGCAAAAAGCGAAGAGCGCCGTTTTAGCTGAAAACGTTGTATCACAGCAACTATATCAGTTTGCCAAATGCCAAGCACTTCTATTTAAAGCATATTACAATCCGAATAGGATCTGCAGATTGTACCAAGGTCAATTTCCTGGGATTGATATTGTTATGTAAAACGACAGCACTAGGGGAAGATGAAGGAAGAGTACTGGGGACTTCTCTGTACTATTTTTGCAACTACCTGTCTATTTCAAAATATAAAACTTTTTAAAAAGCAGGTATTAATCATTAGTTTATTCCACAAAGACAGATTGAACATCTACTATACCAGGCATTGCTATAGATATAGCACTGTGGGTATAACAGTGAACAAAACACCTTACTAGCTCCGCCACTGTAAGTGTTCTTACACTAGATACTTGGATTTTCTTCTATTCAGTTTCCTCATCTGCACAATGAGGGTAATCAGTGCTACCTCACTGTTTGGGGGAGAGTAAAATTAACTAAATAGATGTAAAGGGACTAGCGCTGTGACTGACACAGTTCTGAATATACAGATTAGACTATTAATAAAGCATTTCAGGGACTGTTTTGCCATGTCGCAGGCACGGGGGCTAAGAGCTTGTTTACACACGCAATCTCATTTTCTGTTTCATTTCTTCTCCAGGAGGAGGCGCAGGAAGACTGTTTTGTGTTTGTGTCCTAATATGACCCTAAGAAACGGTTGTAGTTCCCAGATCTTTGGCTCGAGGGAACGAATTGGCATTCAATTCAGTATTTTCATTCTTAATAAAGAGCTCAGCTTAATGTCTGTTTCACTGTAGGCACTCAGTATTTCTTGCATCAATGAATAATATTCTCTTTAGCGCAAATAAATCCCTTTCAGTTAATCTCCTAAACTCACTCGGTCACAAGGAGGTGGACTGCAGTGCTTTCCCTGCGCTAGGAGAAGGGGAGATGTACATCTGTAAAAAGCCACGCAAGTTCAAGACTGAACTCTAAAATTAGCCTGTGCGCTCTTCCTCTTCTGGAAAACGCTTTGTAAAGTGCTGTCACAGCCCTGATTTCGTGTAATCGAAGATTGCTAACACCATAGCGCGTTTAATCAAGGCAGGTAGGAACTGCTCAGTAAATATCTGTTGAATAATCGAGGCTCAGAGCGGCAGTGTCAGGCAGCAGATGTCACTCCCCGTGCTCAATACGGGATCTTCAAACACCTGCACCTGTGTTCGTGACACTGTTAATGTTACAAGGCAAGCGCATGCGCTATTCCGGGGACGTGTTTTCAGCAGATGGGTATCCAGTTTCCCGTTCTTAATATATGTTTATTTTAATTTTTAAAAATGTTTAAATGAACTCAGCACCCATTGTGTGCTGGGCTCAGTATCAGGCACTTCGCAGCACTTCCTTGCAAATTGGAGCATTTCAGAGATGAAAAGCAAAGATTTTCATAAACAGGGTTGAATTTGCTCGCAAGTGAATATACTGCTTATTGAGAAATTTTAACTTAGTGTAAGGTAAAGAAGCCGGGGAGAATTTGAAGAGAATAAGGAGATTTAAGACATTCCCTCCCCACTGTAACCCTCCATGCAGAGATGTAAAACCCCACAGCAGCACGTACAGGTTCGCAGGGGACCTCTCCCCACTACCATCCCCAGACCCACGTTTAGCAGGAGCCTAGAGAAGGAGCACAGCTTCAGCAGAGAGCAAAACCAGCCACAGCCAGGCTCAGAGTCTGCAGTAACAAATAAATGCGGGGGTAAAGGGCGGGGAAGAACCGCGAGAAAAAAAAGTACCCTCTGCAGGGAGGTTCCGCTGCGCATGCGCCTGCTGCGGCGTGGGGAGGGCAAGGAGGCCGCGGC